ATCCACGTCCACAGGCACCAGGAGCCGGGGCTCGGCCGCCAGCACGTACAAGTGCCGCAGGGCCTGGAGGTGATACCTGCACACGGCGAGAAGGAATTCAGCATGGCGGGGTTGCTCCAGAGGTCGCCAAGCACCAGTGCGCACAGGCGAGCTGCATGAAGGGCGAGTCACACAGCAGCGGTATCCGACGGAAACGAGCTGCCGTCGGTACATCCCGACCAGGGGTCGGAACCTTATGTAGGGCGGGGGCCACAGACCCACAAGCAAAAAGCAAAAAAAACCCCCAAACCCCCCATCACTGACGTGGCCCCTGACTGAGAAGACGACACTCCCACATTTACTGAGAGCAATATTTTCAAAAGTGCCTATGTGATTTAGGAGCCTAAGTCCCATTGTCTCCTCGCACACCAGAGCCTGGGGGGTCCAGCTAGGAGATTTTATATGCTCCAGCCCTGCAGTGGGGGTGGGGGGACTCCCCAGGGCTGGGGGAGGAGCCCTGAGTCTCGGGGCCAGATCCAGGCAAGCTGGGGGCCGCATCCGGCCCCCGGGCCTTAGGGTCCCCCCCTCAATCTAGACAGTGACTTGTTTTACAGATACAGCCATTTTCCTAAGGGTTCCGGATTTGTTCTCTTTGAACCGCATGTTTCAAACGCCAGAGAGAGGGATTTTCCACGCGAGCGCCTGGTACAGCCAAGACGTATGGCCCAGGGCACTGTTCGTTAAAGATCTCTTCATTAATCTAAGCTCATCGCCGTCCGCCTGGCCTTTGCGACTGCCCCATTTCTCACTGGAGAGGGTCGGAGTGGGCCCCCACTGACCCCGAAGGTGAGGCGCCCCTCCCAGAGCCTCGGGGGGCTGCACCTGGCCCTAATGAGCCACCTGGCCGGAAGCCAAGGGGTGGGGCCAGAGAGTAAAAAGCCTGCCAGCTAGGCCAGTGAGGCCCTGACCACTGAAGAGGCCAGAGGACTCCCCTGCACCTCGAGGAAGGGACCTAAGGCGGGGTGAGGTAGAGAGTTGGCATGGGCCATCGGGCCCCCTGCTGCACAAGAGCCTGGAGGAGCTCCCCTGAATGCCGCGGAGCGGAGAAAGCACCTGGGGAGGTGGAGGGCTGGCGTGGACCACCGGGGTTCCTGCTGCACAGCGGCCCAGAGGAACAACAGACTCCCTCGGACTCCCCAAACACCCTGTAAGCCTCTGAGGAGTGGCCAATGGACCTGGATCTCTGTGACTCCGCCACCCACCGCGTGGGTAGTAGCCTCCCCCTCTCCGCCGCTGCCGGCGAGCTGCATGCAGCCCTCCTGAGCAAGGGGGCCCAAGCGTATCCGTTGTTCAGACGGCCTTCTTGCTGCCCCGCCCTGACCGAGGGCTGGGCTTATAAACGGTTACCGGCCGCCCCGCCCTGACCGACGGCTGGGCTTATAAACGGTTACCGGCCGCCCCGCCCTGACCGACGGCTGGGCTTATAAACGGTTACCGGCCGCCCCGCCCTGACCGACGGCTGGGCTTATAAACGGTTACCGGCCGCCCCGCCCTGACCGACGGCTGGGCTTATAAACGGTTACCGGCCGCCCCGCCCTGACCGACGGCTGGGCTTATAAACGGTTACCGGCCGCCCCGCCCTGACCGACGGCTGGGCTTATAAACGGTTACCGGCCGCCCCGCCCTGACCGACGGCTGGGCTTATAAACGGTTACCGGCCGCCCCGCCCTGACCGACGGCTGGGCTTATAAACGGTTACCGGCCGCCCCGCCCTGACCGACGGCTGGGCTTATAAACGGTTACCGGCCGCCCCGCCCTGACCGACGGCTGGGCTTATAAACGGTTACCGGCCGCCCCGCCCTGACCGACGGCTGGGCTTATAAACGGTTACCGGCCGCCCCGCCCTGACCGACGGCTGGGCTTATAAACGGTTACCGGCCGCCCCGCCCTGACCGACGGCTGGGCTTATAAACGGTTACCGGCCGCCCCGCCCTGACCGACGGCTGGGCTTATAAACGGTTACCGGCCGCCCCGCCCTGACCGACGGCTGGGCTTATAAACGGTTACCGGCCGCCCCGCCCTGACCGACGGCTGGGCTTATAAACGGTTACCGGCCGCCCCGCCCTGACCGACGGCTGGGCTTATAAACGGTTACCGGCCGCCCCGCCCTGACCGACGGCTGGGCTTATAAACGGTTACCGGCCGCCCCGCCCTGACCGACGGCTGGGCTTATAAACGGTTACCGGCCGCCCCGCCCTGACCGACGGCTGGGCTTATAAACGGTTACCGGCCGCCCCGCCCTGACCGACGGCTGGGCTTATAAACGGTTACCGGCCGCCCCGCCCTGACCGACGGCTGGGCTTATAAACGGTTACCGGCCGCCCCGCCCTGACCGACGGCTGGGCTTATAAACGGTTACCGGCCGCCCCGCCCTGACCGACGGCTGGGCTTATAAACGGTTACCGGCCGCCCCGCCCTGACCGACGGCTGGGCTTATAAACGGTTACCGGCCGCCCCGCCCTGACCGACGGCTGGGCTTATAAACGGTTACCGGCCGCCCCGCCCTGACCGACGGCTGGGCTTATAAACGGTTACCGGCCGCCCCGCCCTGACCGACGGCTGGGCTTATAAACGGTTACCGGCCGCCCCGCCCTGACCGACGGCTGGGCTTATAAACGGTTACCGGCCGCCCCGCCCTGACCGACGGCTGGGCTTATAAACGGTTACCGGCCGCCCCGCCCTGACCGACGGCTGGGCTTATAAACGGTTACCGGCCGCCCCGCCCTGACCGACGGCTGGGCTTATAAACGGTTACCGGCCGCCCCGCCCTGACCGACGGCTGGGCTTATAAACGGTTACCGGCCGCCCCGCCCTGACCGACGGCTGGGCTTATAAACGGTTACCGGCCGCCCCGCCCTGACCGACGGCTGGGCTTATAAACGGTTACCGGCCGCCCCGCCCTGACCGACGGCTGGGCTTATAAACGGTTACCGGCCGCCCCGCCCTGTTCCTAACCACAGACTTGGCTGCCCGCCCTGAACTAAGGCCGGGCCTCTGACTACCATTTGCTGGCCTGCCCAATCCCAAACTGCCTTCGTTCCTGTTTACTTTTGTCTCCCCGCCCCGAGGTAGGAGGGGGCCCCGGACTGGGTATTATTTGTGTTAGGTCGCAGTGGGTCAGAGTGGCCACCCACTGACCCCGAAGGGGAGGCGCCCCTCCCGATTTGAAAGCCTGCCTCGCCTGTTCCAGCTCTAACCCCCCGGTAGCCAAAAGCTTGCAAAGCCTCAACCCAGGCCAACTTCTCGTACAAGCACAACCTAGTCCATGTTCCGGGAATAGACGCGCCCGCTGGCCCTTACCTGTTGTCAGAGCTGTGAACGGGGAAGTGAGGGTACAGAGCACAGAGGAGAGCAGCGATGGAAGAATCCGACGTGCTCAGGGAGTATCTGCAACCATTGGGGACAAACGGTTTTCAAAGGAACGCATACATTTCTGCTCACACTGAAGGCCTAAGGGGAGCGTCTAACCTGCCGCTAGTGACGTGGATTCGTGTCTCAGACTTGGACAAGGCCAAAGTCACTTTGGTGTCACGGTTCCCCATGTCCCATAGAAAACAAGGGAATATGTTTAAATGGGTCAAAAGAAATCCATTCAGCAATCCTCCTCGGGAATCCCCTGCCACACACTAGCGAGTTAATCTAGATGCCGCGGAGGACGAGCTTTTCATCTGGACGGCAGAGACATTTGCGTTTCCACACACTAGAGCAGGTTCAACGTGACAGGACACCCAGCAAAAGCAAACCTCGGTTGACCTCAGAAAGAAAACCTGGCCAGGCCTATTACTTGCACTTGAACGCTAATCTCAGATGCCAGGTGACCGCTAGCGTGTCCTACAATAAATGGACCAAGGGGACCCAGATGGAGCCTTTCGCAATCCTGGCCACAGATTTCCTGTGGGGCTGTGTAAGCTACGTGCAGGTGAACCCCCAAACGTCCAGTCTAGGTTGCTACCCAACAAGCGGTGACGGTTGCCGTGTGTTGCTGTACCACGGGGAAGGTGCTCACACAGTCGAGCCGCCTAAGATGGAGGCAGCGTCAGGGTCGAGATCACAGCTCCGAGGGCGTCCGCGGCTGCAACCGGACACTGTGGTACCAGAGCCTCACAGGCGGACTGGGCCTTTCTGTGCTGTCTGGGGGCAGCCTCCCGCAAGAGACGGAGACTCCCCCTGGCCGGGGGGGAGGGGCAGAACAGGCACCTGCACCTGGGAGCTTCCTGCGCATGGCAGGTGAGCAGACCAGGCCACAGACAGGGGTGGGCAACAGCCTCTCAATGGGCCAGATCTGGCCCCTCTCCCTAGCCCGTTGCCTGGGGGCCGGGATGCCCTTTCAGCTGCTTCTACTGACAGGGCTGGTGAGAGAAAGCAGGGAAATCAGCTACCTTCCTCCGCCCAGGAACAGAAGCCCCAGAGCCATGTGATGTGCCAGGTGGAACCCATAGTTCATTTCTCCGCCCGTCTTCTTGTGCAGGAACCGACAGAGCTGAAGGACCTTCAGGTTCCCCGAGCCCGCCATCACCATGGCGAGAGACAGCAGCACCACGCTCAGACAGGTCTCCAGGTTGTAATGGCCCATCTGAAACACGGACAGGACAGTCGAAAACGGCAGGTTTCCACGCACACGGCCTCGTTAGGAACCTTAATCTGACAGTTGACGAGAAACCCCCCGCGGGAAGGGCCACCGCCCATCCGCTTCACATACGGCACTCCCCGTTCGTTGGCATTCCTCTCCCCAGCCCACACACCCGCCACTGGTTTCCTCAGGGCTATCTGGTCAATCGTTCCAGGCTGGGGACCGACGGGCAGTTCTGCAGAAAAGGCCAAACTGGGGGTTACAGTGGCTGAGAAGCTGGAGAGGAGTCACCAGGGCGCCCTGGTAGCCAAGAAGGCGAATGGCATATTAGGTTGCATTAAGAGGAGCATTGCCAGCAGATCCAGAGATGTCATTATTCCCCTTTACTCGGCTCTGGGGAGGCCACATCTGGAGTAGTGTGTCCAGTTCTGGGTAGGGTTGTTAAGTAGCAATTAATTTACTACTGGACTAGTTGATGGAATTTCCATCGACGACTCGTCTAGTCGATAAGCACGTCCACGTTCTGCCTTTGAAATGTACACGAGCCCCAGAGTGCCGCATGGAGCCTGGGGTCAGCTGGGGGTGACTAATCGACGAGTCCTTTACATTCCTAGTTCTGGGCCCCCCACTACAGAAGGGATGTGAATGCACTGGAGAGGGGCCAGCGGAGGAGACCAAAATGCTGAGGGGACTGGAGCATAGGGCCTATACGCAGAGGCCAAGGGATTTGGGTTCGTTTAGTCTGCAGGAGAGAAGAGTGAGGGGGGGATTTGAGAGCAGCCTCCAACTCCCTGCAGGGGGGTTCCAGAGAGGCTGTTCTCAGTGGGGGCAGAACAAGGAGCAATGGGCTCAAGTTGCAGCAGGGGAGGTCTGGGTTGGATATTAGGACAAACTTTCCCTAGGCGGGTGGGGAAGCGCTGGGCCGGGTTCCCTAGGGAGGGGGTGGAGTCTCCATCCCTAGAGGTTGGACAAAGCCCTGGCTGGAATGATTGAGTTGGGGCTGGTCCTGCTTTGGGCAGGGGGCTGGACCTGATGCCTCCTGACGTCTCTTCCAGCCTTCGGATTCTAGGATTCTAATTCCCCGGGTTCAGAAAACTAATCCGAGAATCCTGTTGCAGGGAAAAATACAGAGTCACTGGCATTGTTAATGGTGCTGGCGTGTTGAACTGCCAGGGCGCTAGATCTGTTCACTAATACGGGAAGCAAACGGGATATTATGTTTGCACTGAAGCTGCATTGAGTTTAATCCAAGTGCATTACATGCCAGGGTTCATTTTCATGGAGAGAGCATCTAAAAGGACTTACTATGGAAGCAGTAGGTGCTGACAAACATTTCATGAAATCTTTTGCAAATTTAAACTGTAAGGAAGAAAAAAGAGAAATACGTCGCGATACAGACATAGAAGGCAGACTTGTTAGCATCAACAAATCTCAAAACCCTCCCCCCGACCTCTTACCAAGCAGTTAAACGCAGCTAAGTTCTCTGAACCGGCAAATCGAAAACCCAGTGACAAGCAGGCACCAGCAATGATGTAGACATGAGCTTGCCTAAAACAACACAAAGAGGAAACAGCTGATGGTTTTCTTTTCCGAATGTGAATAAATGAGATCAAGCAGCCACCTAGATTTTATAACCATCTGGGTAAAAAGTGAAAATACAGCCCCGGAAGAACGGAAGGGTGGCCCACAGACCCTGGCATCTGCGAGAAGAGGATACCACAGTCAGGTCCTCACAGCTACAACCTGGTTTTGTGCAATGTCTCCCCCGGCTCCGGACAGCACTAGATCGCCACGTTACTTACGCCAGGGTCTCCAAGTTCAGATCTTCCGAGGAAGGCAATTCTGTCGCATGAAGGGATATGCTGTTCTCTCTTATAATCTACAAAAAACACAGCAGAGACATAGTTTGACATACCTGCTCGTTCTTGAACCTACCCGTGGTTCTAGGATTTGACAAGTGGTGCAAGATACAAAGCGTGTTTAATAGGGTTATGCACCAACTTTTCCTCTGGTGCTACTACATGATAGTGCTTCAGCTGTGACCCCAACGGGCCAACACTTTGTGGTGAAACATCCTCATCTTCTAGTTGAGTTTGGCAGGACAGTGACTCCAGCTCAGGGCCAGACTCTGCCAGAAGCTTTCTATTATCACCTAGGCAGCCTAATCCAGCAGGAAGCACCTGACACAACAAGACGCTCTCCAGTTACGGCTGCAAGAGCTAGGTTTGATCCCAGGTCTCGAAAGGTCTGGCACGCCTTTCTCAAACACGTGGTGAGGAAATCTGTCTAGTCAAAGCAGGGTTTGAAATGGAACATCCTCTTTTCCGCCTTTGTGTCTTACAGGCACACAGTGGTAAAGCTGCTGACTTGTTGGGAGGCAGGGGGTTGTTTTGGGAAGTGCTAACACACACTTGGTTACGAATGGGTTCCCACTGCACAAGGCTTATCCAAAGCCACTAATTACAATAGAATCTTACCACGTTTCGTTGGCCTGGGTTTTTTTTAAACCCTCTACAGCAGTTCCCAAACTGGGGGGTGCGAATAAATTCCAGGGGGGCAGGGGGAGGGACTGAGGCAATCCAGTCCTCCCCCTCCGGCCCCCATCAGAGCTGGGTTGGTCTGGCTTGTGCTTTTCAGACCTTCTAGGACTCGACATGCTAAGGTCACAAATATGCACTCTGGGCATTAACCTCACTTTCACAAAGTTCTGTCTGGTGGCATTCGACACATTAAGGTGTGTGCAGGCGTGTTTCTATCCACACACACGAACCAGGGATGGAAGTGACTCGAGTAGTCGACTACCCCATAAGGATATGCTTATCGGGTAGTCGAGTCACCTCTCGATTAGTTGCTTCCCCCTCTTGCTGTCTGTGTCCGAGGCAGCAAGAGGGGGAGCAGGAGATGGTGCTGAGCGGGCCGGCTTAAAAGCTGGTTCCCCCAGCACCATCTTGGCGGGGAAGAGACGCAGCCGGGGACCAGGCACAAGCCAAGACAGCTGATTCCCGGCTCACGCCCAGTTCCCGCTGCGGCTCTGACTTTAAAATGTACTAAACAGCCGAGCGGCTCTTTCTATATTTAAAAGGCAGAGCCACAGAGGGCTTACCCCCAGGGCTGGGTACTAACCCCATTGTGGCTCTGCAGTTTCTCCCCTTATCGACTAATCAAGTAGTCGATGGAAATTCCATAGGCTACTCGATTAGCTGATTAAACGCAATGTAACATCCCTAACACAAACGCCCCAGTTTTAGCTGAACACAGTAGAACTTCAGAGTTATGAACAGACTTGTTAACCAGATGCCTCATTTGGAACCAAAAGTACACAATCACGCAGTAGCAGAGACAAAAAATAAAGGCAAACATAGTACAGAACTACATTAAACACAAACTATCAATGAAGGAGGGGAAATCGGTGTTTTTCTTCTACACGGTAAAGTTTCAAAACCAGATGAAGTCAATGTTCAGCTGTAAACACTGAGGTGTTCGGAACTGAGGTTCTACTGCACCAAAACAAGAACTCTGTCAAAGTTTCTCCTGAAGAAAACATTGCTGCTTGCTGATGTACAAGATATTGTGAAGAAGGGACCAAATATACATCAACACTCTGACTGCTGTTTCCCAGGGGGATGTTAATTAGAGTGGCAAACACAGTTAGCATCGGTACTTACCTGTGGGACATTACTGTCAACCCACTTGGAATTGGGCAAAATGTCATCCCACAAAATCAGGCATCGAGCAAGCGTCTAAAAAAGTCAGAAAGTCAATAGTCAGCAGAGAAAAAATGTAAAGCATAATGTTAGCAACTAGCATCAGCAACTGTCTTGTCAATGCACTAAATACAGAGCCATAAAGAATGACAGGACAGAAACAAAAGTCACAGTATTCCATAGAAACCTCTCTCAGCTCCTCTTCTTATGATCAGCACATAAGCTCTTTCCTTGAGCAGTATGCGAAAATTCAAATTCCATTTGGCTATACAGGGATAGTGGGATATACTATTGTAATATACTAGACAACGTATCTGTCTCAGATACAGTTAGCTGAAATTGCATTGCACACATGCAGTAGGACCAGCGTTTTACAAATCATATACAGGTTGACCCTCTCTCATCCGGCACCCTTGGACCCTGACCGGTGCCGAATGAGACACTTTTCTGAACGAGGGGAGGTCAGTATTGTCTAGCAGCATTACCAACACTTCCACTGCTCACTGGGCTGGTAGAGGACAGTTAGGGGTAAATTAGAGCTAAACAACAGCACAGAATACTGAGAGCCAGGACTGGTGGCTGTAAAGAAACTTTATGGGACAGCAAGGAATTTGGCCACCCCCATGAAAAGTGGGCATCTGGCTCACTCAAATCATGCCGGACCATGGAGGTTGCGGGGCCAGAGATTGCTGGACTAGAGAGGTTCAACCTGTACCGGTTTTCAAAACCACTGCAACTGATCTGGGGAAAGTATAGAAGTTTGCTTAAAACTTTCCCATTTTATTTCAAGCTATATAGAAAAATAAAACACCTGAATCATTTCTATTGCTAAAAACAGAAGACGACCCATGATGTGGAAGTTCAACACAAAATGATTGTCTGGAAGCATTCAGATTTGTTTTGGGGTATAAGACAGGCATATCCACAATACACAGCTATCTCGCAGATCTCTGGTCAGTCAAATGCTTCTCAGTGCAGGGCCATCAATAGATTGTCACAGTGCATTTCAACACCATTATAATAAATGGCAAAATGAAACAAAATATGATCCTACCCTCAACAAAAGAAATTCTGGTTTTACAAAGTCCAGCAAATACATTGTGTCAGGCGCTCGAAGCCAATCAGCAATGGACCTATGGAAGCACAACAAGGTAAATTAAGTTGGTGTTATGTAATATACTTCAGCACCATACCAAACATATCAAGCTACATACTGAGCCAGTGATTAGCTACTTTAGTAATGCTATTGTTCACTGACAGGAGAAGCATGTCTAGTAATTAAAGCACAAGAGATTTACTTTCAATTCCCCCACCAGCCAAAGGCAACATGGCCAGCATGATACTAACATAAAATGGGGATGCTACTTGCAAAAGGATACCGCGAGATACGCATTAGTGTTTACAGGCTCAGGTCACTGAGTGAAGTGGCAACAAACGGTGTTGTAAAGAAGTGCAAAGCGTTAGAAAACACCCTGGTATTAGCGAAGATGGGGAATTGGATTATTATTTTTAAATAATTAGCCCTGAAAAACAAAAGTGCTTGGATGAGATGATCACAGATGGCAGGTTTATGTGAAGTAAGAGGCAGAAGACCCAAGGTAAAATTAACACGATGCAGAAGTGTAAAAGCTAATGACAAGTGATAAACATTGGAGCCATGCTAAAGTCAATACCTGTTATTAGTCTTTAGGTAGATCATAGCTAATGCCAGAGTTGCCCCTGGACAAGTAACATCCACATTTATGGTATCTCCTTCCTGTCAAGATAACACATGTACTTTCAGTCCCATGCAGTGTAAAGTTCTGCTTTACTCATTATAAACACTCAGAACTCAATCTGCGCATTAGGCAAACCCACAGCAATGGATAACAGATCCCCCACACTACAGCTATTTCTGCTGAAATACGCTGCAGTTCTGTAACATAAAACTACCTTTATCTGATAGCTCGGAGACTTGTGTTAGCGCTTATGACCTCCGACCATGTACTGATACAGCTGCTCAGGGACATTCAGGTCAGACATGCCTATCAAGTTACTGCCATGCTGAGAAAAGAGGAACAAACAAAAGGAAGAGAAGATGAAACAAATCCCTGCATACATGGCTACTAAGAAGAAACGAATTCATTCTGAATCAACTGGGAGAGGAGATGAAAAATCATCAACAGCATCTAGCTTCCCACCTCCCACAAAGAAAAATGGTCTTGTCTCAAAGGTTAACAAACAAATACGCAGTGCGAACTGTTCATCTAACTGTGGGCTTTGACAACCTGTATCACCACAACATCTAGACACATTGAGTCGGTTTCTACTAATTCTTCGTGGCAGACACAGCTGTTGGAGAGAATCTGAAATCTGAGCCGGGTGGTTAGTTATTATTGGACACGGGAGCACATGGTCTTGCTGAGAGCAGCATAACCAACTTACGATTTTGATTAAAAAACCGTTTACAAGATCAACGTTTGCTGTTGGTATTTTCTCAATTATTCGTTTCAAGCAACATTCCTGACGATAAACCTATTTCCTAGGATATCTGCACAAACGGACAGAGAGAGGCAGGAGCACAGCCATTTTTATTATATTTTATTTGTGAGATTGGCCCAGTTATTTCCCCCGGAATGGTGTCTTGTTTCCTTCATCACCTACACTGATAACATCTTTCTATTTCTTTTATCTTTGCTTCATAGCTTGGCAGTTCATTCTGTTGTACATTTTTTCCTCTGCTACCTGCAATTTAAACAAGAGGAAGGCTGAACTTACCCCCAAGCAGACCATGCCCAACGCTAAACCGGCTGCGAGAGAGTAAGATTCTCTGTCCGTGCAGTACTCCATTTCAGGACCTGGGGGACGTCCTTTATAAAAAGGAAACAGCATGAAATTAACCTTCTAAAATTCTAACCAACCTAGCCATTCTGGGGTGCTACATTTCCAATAATGTCTCAGAGAGGTTGCAAAAGCAACGAGGAGTCCTGTGGCACCTTGGAGACTAACAGATTTATTAGGGCATAAGCTGCTGTGGATAAAACTCTCTCCATCAGATGAGTGGGAGTGGAAGTTACAGAAGCAGGAGTACACATAAGCAAGAAGTTGCTTGTGCTAATGAGGCTAATCAAGTCAGGATAAAAATACCATTCACAGCATTTGGTGGGGAGATGTGAATATCCAGAGAGGGGAAATTGGCTTTGTACTGCGTTAACCAGTTGAAATCCTTATTCAGTCCTAAACTGATAGTGTTGAATTTGCAAATTCAACACTAATTCAGCTGTCTCCCTTTGTAACTGGTTTTTGAAATTCTTTTGTAGAAGGATGGCTGCTTTCAAATCCATTACCGAATGTCCAAGGAGGTTAACGTGTCCCCTGAAGGTTTATGCATGTTACCATTCCTGATGTACGACTTGTGATACTGTTTTGAACAATGTTATTTGTATATATAACTTAAAACAAAAAGCAGAGCCGCTTGCGCACAGAAACAGAAAACAAGTTACAAGTGACATTTAACATAGAAATCTAAACATTTACCTATTACAAAAAGGGTGAACTTCCTACAAACTTTGCTACATAGACCACCTAAAATGACACATTTGGGACCATCCGAAACACCGGGGAAAAGCAATGGCTACATAAACACCAACCAAAAGAGCTCAGATAAGCCAGCAAGAACAGCCTTTAGGGTAACTATCGTTTTGTTCCCAACGTGTAAGTCGAAATGATTTTTGCACAAACCAGTAAACAGAGACACATTTCTGTGTTCAATTCCAAATGGATTTGTACTTGTAGGATCATCTTTTGGCATGCGCGAAAGGTGGCGGAAGAGCCATTTTATAATGTTTCATCCTCTCCTCCCCTTTACGCTAGTCGTGGTGGAATTCCCCAAAGGTATTCAATAAATCATCGGTCTGCTCTTTCACTGGCCTAGCACTGACGTGAACAGACTGTGGAGTGACAGCAGAGCAGGCAGCTGTATTGTTTCTTTACACAGCTGGGGTAAAGAAGTTGGGAAAGGAGAAGGGTGCAGCGTGGGTGCCATGTGAACCAGCTGGCTGTAGGTAAATGTTTCAAAGCATGCAAGCATCATGTCAACCATACACATCCCACTGAGCCTCGGATGAGAGGGGTTTACCTATCTCCGCCAGCAGAACCTCTGCCGTGTGCCGGTGAGCTGTTCCTTGGTACACCAGGCCTATTCCTATCACCGCCGCCACCTGCACGTTATGAGGGACGTCCAGCTCGGTGGAAGTGGGCGGCAGCAGAGCAGGTATGTGGATGCTCAGGAGCCGAGTGATAGCCATATCCATTGTGCCTAGCTTGGCAGCAGACACCCCAAGCAGCAGCCCAATACTCGTCATCTCATGGCCCTGAAATCGGGAGCAAACAGAGGAATCAAAGAACCGCGAGCCTCACACACGGGTGCGCGTATCTCGCTGAGATCAAAGGCGGTGAAGGTCACACGCACCCAGTAACACATGAAGGTGCAAGGGCAGGACAGCTGCTCTGCAGTTCTGATGAGCTGTGTACGGTCACTCTTTCGGGATGCTGCCCGCTGACTGCTAAATGAGTAAACGTCTCTTCTGCGCTTACAACCGCAGCACAGATTGACATACGGGACAGATTTCCCCCAGGGAAAACCCTTCCCCGAACCAAATGTTGAGGTTTGGCTCCGAGTTCTCGCATGGAGCCATTCTGTAAAGCAAAAACCCCCGGTTCCCAGGTTAGATTGGGTGTTTATAATACAAATCGGAGCAGCCTGTTCACCCTGGAAGGAAGCAGTGGTTTTCAGCCTGGAAGACCATCCCTTCCTTTGAAATTAGGCAGGGGTCTGCAAATGAAAGCAACTTGAAAAGCACTGCTCCAAACGTTGCTGACAAAGAACCCAGCCTTCCATTTACTCTCATCAGCATCGTTTTGATCTCCGAGTCTAATCACATTTTTGCCATTTTTGAAATCCAAGGCTGGGTTTAAGGAATATGTTTGATTCGCTGCCGTTTAACGGCGACTCTAGAAACCACTGGGCACTCGGCCATCAGACAGGCTCGAGGGGAGTTACATGAAAGAGAAGACTAAAACCACAACGAGTCGTGCTGGAGGCTTTCTGAAACAAAAGGAGTTCCAGTAACCTGGACAGGCACGGACGCTGTGGTCTCCAATGCAGGAAGAAGGGTGTTCCGTAGCTAACAATGCAAGCAAAGGCCACGGTGGTTTTGGTGGGCGTGTTGAGACCCGGCCACGGGGACCGCTCTTTGGGGAATGGCCAGAACCAGC